CTCCGCTGGGGAGGCAGAGGTCAGCCTGCGGGCACCGGCCTGGGCTGGGCAGACGGAGGGTGACCTCTGGGCTGGGCAGACGTGGGGTGATCCCCTGGGCTGGGCGGACGGGGGGTGAACCCCTGGGCTGGGTGGACGGGGGGGGGGGGGGGGGGGGGGGGGGAGGAGGGCTCTGGGCTGGGCAGACGGAGGGTGGCCCCGGCGGCCTGAGCTAACAGCTGCACTTGAGCTGTCCTGTGGGCTTCTCCTTGCAGCTCTGCTTCTTTTTCTTTTTTAAAAAAGTACACACCGAGTGGCCAGATGGCGATGATCTCTGAACACATAATCATCTGGCCACTCAGTGGTTCCTAGGTTGATGCTCAACCCCTGAGCCACACCATCGGGGCGAAAGCTCTTTTCCATAGAGACTCTCTCCCCAGGACGAGGCTCTGGAGGCACCTCGGGGACCTGCAGGCTGGGCGGGGTGAGGAGGCCTGGCTTGGCCTCAGGGCTGGAGGGGGGGCTGCTCCGGGCAGAAGCAGAGCTCCCTCCCAGGGCCGGGCCTGCGCTGGGAAGCCAGAGGCCAGGAGGGCGGGCAGAGTCCCGCAGTCACACGCTCCGGCTCGGGGTGGAGGCTGTGGGGGGTGGAGGCCGGGGGCCGGTGACTCACTGTTTCTGGGAAGAAGGAGCGGAGGCTCCAGCGGCTTATTATTCCTGCATGCGCCTTGGAGACGGAGCGCACAGGCTGGACGGCGTGCAGGTCTGGGCAGCGGGCCAGGAGGAATCCATTAGTTTTTCTACTAAAAACTCCTTTACCCCTAAGCCAGGGGTGGGCAAACTGCGACTCGCGAGCCACATGCGGCACTTTGGCCCTTGAGTTTTTAGCAAAGGCAGCTTAGAAGTGCCCTAATTAGGTTAATAACCATATGCCTACCTATATAGTTTAAGTGTAAAAAATGTGGCTCTCCAAAGAAATGTCAATCGTTGTGCTGTTGATGTTTGGCTCTGTGGACTAAGGAGTTTGCTGACCACTGGGCTAAGCCATAAATCCCACCTCCCAGCCAGGGAGTGCAGTTCCAGGAGGCAGGAGGGGGCTGCGAGGCTGATGTGCGCCGGGTCACAGACCCCTCCTTCTCAGGGGCCGTTTCCCTGTCCGCCCATGGGGAGGGTTTGCTGTTCTCTGTGGGGCAGGAAGGAAACAGCCATTCCTGTGCGCAGCTGCTGCCTTCTCTCTCTTCTGCTTAAAAAAAATATAGATATGTCGATGTCAGAGAGGAAGGGAGAGGGAGAGAGTTAGAAACATTGATGAGAGAGAAACATTGATCAGCTGCCTGCTGCACATGCCTTACTGGGGATGTGCCCACAACCAAGACACATGCCCTTGACTGGAAACGAACCTGGGACCCTTCACTCCACAGGCCAACTCGCTATCCACTGAGCCAAACTGGTCAGGGCAATGTATATATTTTTTATGATTCTAGAGAAAGGAAAGGAGAGGGAGAGAGCTAAAAACATCAATGATGAGAGAGAATCATGGATCAGCTGCCTCCTGCACGTCTCCCACTGGGGATGGAGCCTGTTACCCGGGCCTGTGCCCTGACCAGGGGAATAGAACCATGACCTCCTGGTTCCTAGGCCGATGCCTAACCATTGAGCTACACCGGCCGGGCTCTTTTGCTTTTTAACCCTAGGTCAGTGGTCCCTGTGACTGGAGGACAAGCCAGGGGACAAACACACACACACAAAACCATCTCTCCCCTGACCCACACCAGCGGACCGTGATTGGCAGGGCAGGAGGAGAAGTGTCCGCAGCTGCTCACGGGTCTCGCTCACTGGGGCAGCTGCGGTGCTGATCGCTCCTGGAGGGGAAGTGATTTCCGGAGGAAAGGAGACCGGTTTGCTGGGTGAGTGCAAACACAGCCACACCTCGCCCTGAGAGGTCCTCCAGAGAGGTAAAGAGTGGGGCAGCCTGGCCGCAGGTCAGGAGAGAGAGAGAGAGAGAGAGAGAGAGAGAGAGAGAGAGAGAGAGAGAGAGAGAGAGAACACGGAGCAGCACCAGCCGCAGCCGCCCAAGCCTCCGGAGGTTTGGGTCACTTGGCAGCTTGTAGGGTTCAGCCCCTTAAAGCCCAGGGAAGTAGAACTGCTGGGCAGGCGGGGCCACTGAACTGGTCTGCCCATCAGCCACACCCTCGGCTCTCCTCCCCCCCGCCCCCCAGGACAGCAGCGCTAACTTTCACGGCACAGCATCTTGGGACTGGGGGGGGGCGGGGGGGAGCCACAGCCTTATTTTTTAACTCATCAGCACTGTCCCTTGGGGAGGCTAGGCCTCAATAGCAACCGGAAGTGTGAGTCAGGATGGGGGTTGGTCTTGGCCCTGCCCCCATTCAAGCCCCTCTTCCGGAAATATCTTCTAGCACCCAGTTTCTGGCGCCTTTAGAGTGGTTGTTTTTTTAAGTTATTATTATTTAAAATACTTATTTGTAGAAAGTATTACATATGTCCCCCCTCCTCCCCCATTGACCTCTCCCAGCCTGCCCACCTCCCCCGCCCCTGTCCCAGGCCTTCGCCACCCGAGTGTCTGCCTCCAAGGGTGACGCATAGCTGGACACCAGGTCTTTGGTTTGATTACCATCGGCCCCCCCCCCCGCCGCCCCCCCCCTCTCCCCGGAAATTCCACACTCTGTCCCCTGCTTCCATGGTTCATCAGTTTATTTTGTTACTTATTGTAGATTCCACATAGGAGGGAGATCGTGTGATCCTTGCTTCCACATGCTACTTGTCTGTCTCTGGCTGGCTTGTTCACTCACCATGATGCCCTCCAGGCCCCCACATGCTGTCTACAGGGTAAGGTTCCTTCTTTTTCACAGCTTCATGGTGCTCCATGGACTGGATGTGCCTCAGCTGTTTTATCCACTCTTCTGCTGGTGGGCACTTGGGCTGTTTCCAGATCTTAGCTTTGTGAATTATGCTGCTATGAACATAGGGGCGCATATATCCTTTCTGATTGATGTTTTGGGGTTTTTAGGATATATTCCCAGAAGTGGGATCACCGGGTCAAAAGGCAATTCCATTTTTAATTTTTCAAAAATATTTTTATTGATTTCAGAGAAGAAGGGAAAGGAAGAGCAATAGAGAAACATCCATGATGAGAGAGAATCATGGATCGGCTGCCTCCTGGACATCCCCTACTGAAGATGGAGCCAGCAACCCAGGCATGTGCCCTTGTCTGGAATTGAACCCAGGACCTTTGAGTCTGCAGGCCCACACTCTATCCACTGAGCCAAACCATCCAGGACCCATTTTCAGTTTTTTGAGGAACCTCCATACTGTTCTCCGCAGTGGCTGCACCAGTCTGTATTCCCACCAGCAGTGCACGAGGGCTCCTTTTTCTCTGCAACCTCGACAAATGACATTTGTCATTTGTTGATTTGTTGATTCTGACAGGTGTGAGGTATACCTCATTGTCGTTTTAACAGCCCAAATGTCCATCTACTGATGAATGGATAAACAAAATATGATTTATCTGTACAATGTACAATGCAATATTATTCATTAACTAAAATGAATGAAGTTCAGCCAAAACCAGTTTGGCTCAGTGGATACGGTGTCGATCTGGTCAAGGGCATGTACCTTGGTTGCGGGCACATTCCCAGTAGGAGGTGTGCAGGAGGCAGCTGGTTGATGTTTCTCTCTCATTGATGTTTCTAACTCTCTATCCCTCTCCCTTTCCCTCTGTAAAAAAATCAATAAAATATATTTAAAATAAAATAAAATGAATGAAGTTCTGACACAGGCTACAACATAGACAAACTTTGAAAACATTCTTCTGAGTGAAGAAACCAGACACATAGGAATACAAATTATATGATTTCAAGTGTATGAAATGTCCAGAACAGGCAAGTCATAAAGACAGAAAATGGATTAATGGTTGCCATGGGCTGGAGGAGGGGGAATGGAGAGTGACTGCTATTGGCTATGGAAGTTACTTTTGGGTTGATGAAAATATTCTAAAATTAGCTAGTGGTGGTGGTTGCAAAACTCAGTGAATAGACTAAAAATCATCGATGTGTACACTTTAAAAGGCTGTTTTAATTATGCTGAGTGAAATAAGCCAGTCAATGAAAGAGAAACACCACATGACCTCACTCATTTATGGATGATAAAGAACATTATAAACTGATGAACCAAAAGATAGATATAGAGACAGTAAAGCAACAAGTAGACTGTCAAGTTACAGCAGGTAGGGTAGGGAGATCTGGGGGAGATAATAGATCAACCGAAGGACTTGTATACATGCATATAAGTACAACCAATGGACACAAAACTCTGGGGAGGGGGGGTATGTATGGGAGGGGGGGGGCAATGTTAAATTATGTACACAGATAATAAATGAAAAAAAAATGGGGAAAGAAAAGGCTGTTTTATGGCATGTAAATGATATGTCAGTCAAACTGTTACCAGAAAATACATATGCCTGGGTCCACTCTCAGAGATTCTGGTTTGGTGAGTCTGAGATGGACCCTGGGTACCTACCTTTTTAGTCAAATATCCTAAAGGTTGGGGAGGGAGTGGTTTACAAGGACAGAAAAAGGCCTTTCCTTTTCTTTGCGGTGGCCTTCCACCATGTATGAGAAGCCCCTGGTAATTAAACCCCAAGATTGTTGGCTCCTTTGATTCAAACAGCCCCTCTCTTTAAACTGCAGGAGAAGATGAATCTACTCTCAAGGCTACATTCTTGTATTCTCCTCCTCCCTGCTGTTTTCACAACTCAAGAATAATTCCCACCAGGAGTCTCTAGTTAGTAGAGTTTCCTTCTCCCTCTTTTCAAACCTCTTTTGAACTCTCATAACTGTTTTTCTAAGCATGTTTTACAGCCTTGGGGAATATACTGATAAGACACCTCTCTAGGACATCTGCCGGATTGCCTCCTGGAAAGCAAACAAATAACTTTTCAAGACAATCCCCTGCATTTGCTCAACTTCAACACTTATGATACCACTTTTGTCTCTCACCATCAGCCTCACGCCATCGCCACAGAACCACAGGCCCTTTGCATATCCACCTACCACGGCTCTTTATTCAGTCCCACTCAGACTCACACCTCCAACTTTAGGACATGGGTGCTTTATTTCACAAATCTTTGACAATCCAGACCAAGGGGTGTGGGGGCCCAGAGGGTTGGGCTGTAGAGGGACTGCTGGCTCATTGTAGAGAGGGACCCCAACCCTGCTCTGGGGACATGTTCTGTGTCCTCATGGGCTGAGTGGCGCCTCCACAGTGGTGCTGGTGGAGGGAGGCATGGGGCCTGTGGGTGAGCCCAACAGGGGCCCGGGGAAAGGCATGAGGTGGCTGACAGGCCCTGACAACTCCTCGGGGCCCGGGCCTTGGTAGAGCTGGGCAGTGCCTGGTGGGTCCAATGTCAAGCCTGAGGCCACCTCCCCAGAATTCCCACCATCTCTGCCCCCGTCCATGGAGCCACCCGCTGGCCCATCAGCTGGTCCTGGGCCTCCCAGACTTGACGCTGGCTTCTTTTTTTGCTGTGATGTCTTGCGCTTTCTAGTCTTTACAACATCCTTCCGCATAGTCACTGGTCGGTTCGCCTGACAAAAGGGAGACCATGAGTGTTCCCCAACCTCAGACTTTGGCCTCTGTGTCTCCACCCTTCCCACCCCACTCCTTAAGAATAGGGAACTGGGCCATGGGCTAGGGGAGCAGGCCCAAGCTGTGGCACAGATAATGCCTAAGGAATCATGAGCTTGTGAGGCCCTAAGCTGGGGAAAGGCTGGGGGAGCCTCTAGCCATAGGACTAGCTGATGGGTGGAGGGGAGGAGGAAGGAGATGAGAAATGGCCTAGAGAGAAGGGAGCAGGAGGGATTAGGAAGTCAGGGAGGAGATGGAAGTGCAGAGAAGAGAGGGATTGGGGGGGGGGGGGGAGGGAGGAGAATAACAGGAAGAAAGGGAAGGGAGATAGGAAGAATACAGGAAAGGAAAAGGAGAAGGAAGGGAGTGTTGGTGGGATGGGGGAGCAGGGGGGAGGCTAAGAGGCAGGGCACACCTGGTGTCGCTTGTAATAGAGTCCACAGGCATTGCACACGGGGTTTCCATTGGCATTCATCCGCCACACTGCCGTGGTGGTTGTCTGGCAGTTGGCACACTGGGCACCTGCCCACTTGCTGACCCTCTGGGGGCAGAAAGAATGTGAGGGTTGTGCACTGGGCGGGGGGAGAGGGGAGACACACAGGAAGTGAGGGTCAGGGTTAAGGCAGGGCTTCCTGGACAAGGCGTAGACTGAGGGTTCTCCTGGGGCTTTCCAAATGGTGTGGGGGCTGCATCAGTGGTTCTCAACGTTGGCGGACATTGGACTCACTTGGGGAGTCGAAAACCATCCTGATGCCCAGGCAGTGCCCCAGACCAAGTAAATCAGCACATCTAGGGAGGGCCCCACGTTGACCCCAGTGTGCAGCCAAGTATGAAAAAGGCTGTGCAGGGAGTGGACGGCGTGCCTGCTTGCAGCCTGAGGGTGGGCTGAGCGTAGACACTCTTGTACAGAGCTGGGTCCCTGAGTGGATGGGGCAGGGAGGGAGACTGGGGTTCTCATAGAGTGTGAGGACAGAGATCCTGCAGGGAGTGGGAACAGCAGTACCTGGGTGAGGGGAGGAGGGCCTGGGGTCTTACCTGGCGCGTTTTGGGGGTGTTCTGCCTGTCTATCATCTGACCATTAGCATTGCTCTGGTATGACAGCGGAGTGGCTGTTGCTCTGCAGTACTCACACTCCCTGGCCTCTGGAGAGGTGGACAGGGGGAAGAGGGACCAGGCTCAGCCCAACTTTGCCTTGGACCCGCCCCCTACCTCAACCTCCCTGTCCCTTTTGGGGAAGCTCACCACAGGTGGTCATGGGCAGGGCTCCATGAAGATTGGTAGACGAATAGGCCGATGAATAGGGGGAGCTTCTGGTGGGAAGAAAGAAGCCCCTTGCAAAGCCAGGGGCCCCTCTGGGGACAGGGATGGAGGAAGGCCCTGCAGGTCCCCGTGTGGACTGGTCCGGACTCAGTCGCTGTGTCCTGAAGGTGCCTCTCGCATAGGAGTCTCCTAAGACCTGAGGCGGGGCGACCTCCCAGGTGGGGCACACAGGGCAGGGAGGGTAGAGCCCAGTGTTGCCATAGGCCCAGCTGGTGTATGGTGAGCCCCATGGGGTCCCCTCCATACATCCGGGACACGGGTTCACTTGGTAGCCTGTTGAGGGGGTGGGTGTGGGAAGGAAGAAAGAAGGGGACAGAAGGTCTGATGCCATCCTGCTTTCAGGGTGCAGTGGTGCCCAACAGTCCCAGCATGGTGGCCAACCTCCCCACCTTCCCATAGGTTGCCAGAACAGCTGCTGGCCCTCAGGGACTCCTGGATCTGAGCCCCATTGGTCACCCTGGCAGCTGAAGTCACCCGAAGCCACTTCCCAATGGACTTTGAGCAAAACTGTGTGGAGCCCCATGGGCCACTCAACAACGAGGGCCACCCCCACCTACTTACAGCATCCATTCCAGATGAGGCAGTATGGGGATGTACATTCCCAGACCTGCACATGCACATATGCAGAGAACATGGTCCACATAGTCATGTGAAGGCTTCTGGCCCTTTCTAAAATGGCCTCTTTGTTGGGTTCTACCCTAGCCAAAGGTCTCCCCGGCAACCCCAACAGCATGGAACCCTGCCAGGAAAGCCAGTGTAGCAGCAGCCTGCATGTGCCCCAACTGGGACTGAGGATCGAACCTAAACCCAGGTGCATGCTCTTGACTGAGAATCAAACCTGAGACCCTTTGGTGCACAGGCCCATGCTCTAACCACTGATCACATCAGCCAGGGCCCACGAGGGGTTCCTATGGGCCAGGCCTGGAAGTTGTGTGCGAGTGTCACACATCCCACATGGTTCGAGGTACAGGTTCAGGGTTCTGATTCAGGCTCTGGAGGAGGCAGCGCGAAAATGAAGGAGGCAAGACAAGAAAGATAATTTGGGGTGGGGGGCATTGGTATATGTATAAAAATAATAACTTAATAAAAATATATTAAAAAAAAGAAAGATAATTTGGAAATTGGGGGCCAAGCCGAAGCCCAAAGGAGGACTCCGCTTTGCTCTGGCCTTGCCATCCCTTTATCCAGGTTTGGGGTATACCCATAGCCCTTGGGCAGGCAATTCCAATAACAGCTCAGTGACAGCCCATCGGCAAGGATTTACATGAGACTAAAAGGTGGAGGTTGCTTCAGCTCCTTTGTCTCCACCAGACAGTGGGTGCTTGGCTCTGACCCTTGGCAGAGCCTTAGGGTTGACCAGCCTTCCGGACTCCTTGTCCACCTCTCGCTGCTAGTGAAGGCAATGGGCAGCTTCCAACAGTCATGTATGTCACTGCTCACTCCATTGATCAGAACTGTCACATGTCCACCTGTCCGTGTAAGGGGGGCTGGGAAAGTGAATGAGTCAGGAAGAAAGGGGAACAGGGTTGACAAGCCTATAGCAGTGTCTGCTTCAGGATTCTGTAGACTCCCCAGAGCTATGCTGTTTCATGTGGGAGCCACTGGCCACCGTCAGAACAGTGGCTCCTGTACGAGGTGAGAGTAAGGCTTCCAGAACAAGGCTGTCAGAGAGAGAGAGTCTCATCGGGGCTCCTGTACAGGGTCAGGAGAGTGTTTCCAGAGGGCAAGTTTCAGGGCTCCTACAAAAGATCAGGTCAGAGATTCCTGAAGTGAGTCAAGTTATAGATTTCTGTTGGAAGTCAGAGAAAGGTTTTCTGCAGAATCCGGTTATAGGCTCCAGCACTATTATAGACAAGGCTTCCTGTAGAGGGTCAGGCCATGGAGCCAGGACAGGGATATGTCATGCGTTTTGGGGGTGTTCTGCCTGTCCATCCTCTGACCATCAGCATTGCTCTGGTACGACAGTGGAGTGGCTGTCGCCCTGCAGTACTCACACTCCCTGGCCTCTGGAGAGGTGAACAGGGGGAAGAGGGACCAGGCTCAGCCCAACTTTGCCTTGGGCCCTCCCCCCACCTCAACCTCCCTGTCCCTTTTGGGGAAGCTCACCACAGGTGGCCATGGGCAGGGTTCCATGAAGATTGGTAGACAAATAGGCCGATGGATAGGGGGAGCTTCTGGTGGGAGGAAAGAAGCTCCTTGTAAATCCAGGAGCCCCTCTGGGGACAGGGATGGAGGAAGGCACTTCAGGTCCCCGTGTGGACTGGTCCAGACTCAGTCGCTGTGTCCTGAAGGTGCCTCTCGCATAGGAGTCTCCTAAGACCTGAGGTGGGGCGATCTCCCAGGTGGGGCACACATGGCAGGGAGGGTAGAGCCCAGTGTTGCCATAGGCCCAGCTGGTGTATGGTGAGCCCCATGGGATCCCCTCCATACATCCGGGACATGGGTTCATTTGGTAGCCTGTTGATGGGGTGGGTATGGGAAGGAAGAAAGAAGGGGACATGAGGTCTGACACCATCCTGCTTTCAGGGTGCAGTGGTACCCAACAGCCCCAGCATGGTGGCCAACCTCCCCACCTTCCCATAGGTTGCCAGAACAGCTGCTGGCCCTCAGGGACTCCTGGATCTGAGCCCCACTGGTCACCCTGGCAGCTGCAGTCACCTGAAGCCACTTCCCAATGGGCTTTGTGGGGCCCCATGGGCCACTCAACAATGAGGGCCACCCCCACCTACTTACAACATCCATTCCCGATGAGGCAGTAGGGGGATGTACATTCCCAGACCTGCACATACGCAGAGAACATGGTCCACATAGTCATGTGAAGGCTTCTGGCCCTTTCTAAAATGGCCTCTTTGTTGGGTTCTACCATAGCCAAGGGTCTCCCCGGCAACCCCAACAGCATGGAACCCTGCCAGGAAAGCCAGTGTAGCAGCAGCCTGCATGTGCCCCAACTGGGACTGAGGATCGAACCTAAACCCAGGTGCATGCTCTTGACTGAGAATCAAACCTGAGACCCTTTGGTGCACAGGCCCATGCTCTAACCACTGATCACATCAGCCAGGGCCCACGAGGGGTTCCTATGGGCCAGGCCTGGAAGTTGTGTGCGAGTGTCACACATCCCACATGGTTCGAGGTACAGGTTCAGGGCTCTGATTCAGGCTCTGGAGGAGGCAGCGCGAAAATGAAGGAGGCAAGACAAGAAAGATAATTTGGGGTGGGGGGCATTGGTATATGTATAAAAATAATAATTTAATAAAAATATATTTAAAAAAAAAGAAAGATAATTTTTAAATTGGGGGCCAAGCCGAAGCTCAAAGGAGGACTCCGCTTTGCTCTGGCCTTGCCATCCCTTTATCCAGGTTTGGGGTATACCCATAGCCCTTGGGCAGGCAATTCCAGTAACAGCTCAGTGACAGCCCATCGGCAAGGATTTACATGAGACTAAAAGGTGGAGGTTGCTTCAGCTCCTTTGTCTCCACCAGACAGTGGGTGCTTGGCTCTGACCCTTGGCAGAGCCTTAGGGTTGACCAGCCTTCCGGACTCCTTGTCCAGCCTCGCTGCTAGTGAAGGCAATGGGCAGCTTCCAACAGTCATGTATGTCACTGCTCACTCCATTGATCAGAACTGTCACATGTCCACCTGTCCTTGTAAGGGGGGCTGGGAAAGTGAGTGAGTCGGGAAGAAAGGGGAACAGGGTTGACAAGCCTATAGCAGTGTCTGCTTCAGGATTCTGTAGACTCCCCAGAGCTATGCTGTTTCATGTGGGAGCCACTGGCCACAGTCAGGACATTGGCTCCTGTACAAGGTGAGAGTAAGGCTTTCAGACCAAGGCTGTCAGAGAGAGAGAGAGAGAGAGAGAGAGAGAGAGAGAGAGAGAGAGAGAGAGAGAGAGAGAGAGAGAGAGAGACTCATTGGGGCTCCTGTACAGGGTCAGGAGAGTGTTTCCAGAGGGCAAGTTTCAGGGCTCCTACAAAAGATCAGGTCAGAGATTCCTGAAACCAGTCAAGTTATGGATTTCTGTTGGAAGTCAGCGAAAGGTTTTCTGCAGAATCCGGTTATAGGCTCCAGCACTGTTATAGACAAGGCTTCCTAGAGGGTCAGGCCATGGAGCCAGGACAGGGATATGTCAGCACGCCCTGCCCAGTGTCTGGGCAGGGGGTCCTGTGCCAGGTGAGGTTGTAGGCTCCTGTATAGGATGAGGTCTGGACTTAAAGCAGGGGGTCAGGACAGGCACCCCACCACAGGTTCAGGAAAGGTTTTCCATGTAAGTTCAAGACTGAGGTTCATGTTGAGAGTTGGATCACGGGTTCCTGTGGACTCTGTGGGGTGGGGTGTGAGGTAGGGATTGTGTGCAGAGTGATGTCAGGGCTCATTGTCAACAATGGAAGCAAGGCTCCTGAATTCAATCAGGGTTCCCAAAGAGTTTGCT